TTTAGAGGTTTTTTAATCTGCCAGCAATTGACACGTCTTAATCATACACGAAGTTCTGTTCACTAACATAATTTATTAAGGTGCCATAGTCAAGACGCAAAGCACGTTCTTAAAATATAATTTCCACGATCAAGCACGTTTATATAGTGTAAAATATGTGTGGTAGAAACGGTGCCTCCAGTCAACCACCGTAGGCATGATAGCGACATTAATACATATACAATTCATGTGGACCAATTCAATGGTTATCTAATACCACTAGTCCACTTTTGAGGTTCGTGAATTTTCCAAGGGAAATGCTATTTGTAATAATGGTTCACATGAGGGGCAAGTGACACCTCCCCATGAGAGGGGCGCCTCGGCCGGGGCCGAGGGAGGAGGGGGGGGGGGGGGGGGGTTTTTTCAGTCCGCTTAATTCTTAACAAAGTGATGGTACAATCTTGACTGTTGATCAATAATTCAAGAGATTATTCAATTATGATGAGCTTGTATCAATAATTGAAGAGATAAAACAAGTATTCGATTATGGATATTATATTCATGTGAGTATAATCCGGAGTCTCAATAATCTCAGCACCCATACTACAAGTGCGTGAGGTATGACGATGGCACCTCATCACGCTACATGAGAGTCACTTTGATACTCTTATTGTGAAAAGAAAATTATAATATTGTGTTTTAAAAAAAAAAAAAATTCTCGTAGAAAAATTAGGCCCCATTAATTTAGACTACATGTCACCTTGATATCATTTCAGAAAATAACATAGTGGGCTACATGTTCAAGATTTTAGTATCAAGAAATTATTAAAAAATTTGCTGTGTATGTCATGAAAATGTTTAAATAAAAGTATATTCACAATACGTTCTTGACAAGAAATAATGAAACATCACGTGTTTGATATAAACATTTGGGAAGTGCTATGTGTAAATAATGAACTACACAAAATTTCACACCCCCTCACATGGAGAGGGGCCCCCTCCATGTGAGGGGTGTGAAACTTTGTGGACACGCAGCATTTTCGTAAACATTTTAAAAAAAAAAATTGAATGTGATGGTTGCAAACATTTTAAGAAAACAATTTTTTTTTTCCCAATGCACATTACATCTTGTTAATTTTAGAACATTATTTGTCTCCCAACCAAAAAAAAAAAAAAAAAAAAACTGAAATAATTTAAAAATTAATACTAGATATTAATATTCTATCAATATATTATCAATTTTGAAAAATGAAATTGGATGTGCTCACATTAGTTGAAAAAGGCTACTCGAGCCCTTAATTATTCACCTCACACAAATGTAGAATGAAAATAAAATCGAGAATATATTTCTGACTTCTCAACATTCTCAGTACTCACACTTGGTTGCATGATGATGCGAGGCACCATCTGTAAACACAATGATTATCAGAGTAACTTTTCAACACGAGATTCGTTTCTTTTACGTCTTTTAAACTTTCACAAGTTTTGTAAGTTTCCAACACATCATTCAAATAATTTTCTTAATTTGCAATTTCTTGAACTTTTTTTTTTCTTGTTAACTTGCCTTTTTGATTTAATCAATAGCTAGTTTCATCACCAGTGACGATTGATAATTAATAGTTTAATCTGCCAGCAATTAACACGTCTTAATCATACTGTTCACTAACATAATTTATTAAGGTGCCATAGTCAAGACGCAAAACACGTTCTTAAAATATAATTTCCACGATCAAGCACGTTTATATAGTGTAAAATATGTATGGTAGAAAACGGTGCCTCCAGTCAACCACCGTAGGCATGATAGCGACATTAATACATATACATACAATGCATGTGGACCAATTCAATGGTTATCTAATACCACTATTGAGGTTCGTGAATTTTCCAATTAAAGACGTTGTTTTTTCTCAAAGAGAGTAGATTGGGTCATGACGGGACAACATAATTAACTATTTTTGAAAAAAATCAATGGAAAAGAACGATTAGGGGTTGAGAAAAAATGGTATCATAGTGTTGGGCAAATTTAATTATTATGAGAAATTATACACGTGTTCGTCCTTTAATCATAAAATGATTTTGAAGATATGAGTTTAAAATTATTATATTTTTTGGTAAACCTCGAGTTTAATAATAACTAAATAAATGTCACGATGTTTTGATTATACATTGCTAGCCGACAATTATTTTATTTTTTTCTAGCTCGAATACAATGTTAAATTTTATCTATTAAATTGTTAAAGAAAGCCTAAGTGTATTTATTTGAATTTAATCTTCAGAAGGGAACAAGAGGAGGTTAGGCACGACCTCAAGTTTACTAATACCACGATGTTTTAATTATGCATTGCTATAGTTTTATACATTTGTTCAAGCTCTAGAATAATGTTAAGCATCTCATTTATTAAGCTATTGTTTGGTATAGATTAAAATTAAAATTTTATTAGATTGTGATTAAAGTTAATAAATGTGTGGTTGGAAGTTGTGGGTCTCATAAATTATATGACTAAAATTAATTTTTAACTTTTATTAAAAATTTTTATCAACTTTTAACATGTTCCAATCAAACGTGCCTAAGCTATTATAGAAAGCCTGCATATATTGAAGGACAAATTTAGTGCGGGTAGTGGGTCAGCTACCCGCACACTAAGCCCATGTTTGAGGCACAATTTATCAAAAAAATTTTTTTTTTCAAAATTTATTTTCAATCGGATAATCCTATACAATTTTTTAACGGGTAATTAACACATAACGTCTTTACCTTTTATTATTATTGTGTAAAAGATCCTTATCTTTTTTTCTTTTCTTATTCATTTGTGCCCCTATTTCCATATTTTATTGTGCAAAATGTCATTTTCACATATTTTTTTCAATTTAAAACTATAAAATGATGAATATGTCATTCTATTTAAATAAAACAAAAAGAAAAAGAAAGAACTAATTACAATTAGAATCAATTTTTTTTTAAAAATGCAAACAAGTCCGGAATAAATTATTAAAAGGGTAATTCGCACACAATATCCCTACATTTCACTATTATTATGAAAAAGTTTATATTTTTCATTTTTTTGGCATTTTCATCAATTTTCTCAATAAAAGCCGTGAAACGATGAATATAAACTCCTACTTAAATAAAAAAATTTAAAAAAATTATTATTTTTTATGTCTAATAATTTATTTGGGATTTGTTTGGACTTTTAAAAAAAACTTGGGACTATGATTGCAATTAATTCTTTATTTTTCTTTTCTTTTCTATATTTAAATATGATGGTATATTCGTCATTTTATAACTTGTTATTGAAAAGTTAGATGAAAATTGATAGAAATGATGGTTTGTGCAATCAAATGTATAATTAAGAGTAAAAATGTTAAAAAATAAAAGTTAGGGACATTTTTCACAATAATAGTGAAATGTAAGGATATTATGCGTTAATTACCCTTTTAATAATTTATTTAGAACTCGTTTGCACTTTTTTAAAAAAAAAATTGGGACTATGATTGCAATTAGTATTTTTTTCCTTTTGTTTTATTTAAATAGAATGGTATATTTGTCAATTCACATCTTTTAATTGAGAAAATAGACGAAAATAACCTTTTACACAATGAAAGGTGAAAATGCCAAAAAATGAAAGTTAATGACATTTTCCACAATCATATTGAAATGTAAGGATGTTATGTGTTAATTATCTTTTTTTATAACATTGTTGACAATGTTGTAGGTGGCAAAAAAGTATTTGTTAAAAAGATAATTTATTTTTTAAACTGTCAATGACAACATGCCACGAGGCATGTTGTCATGAATATTGTACACCAAACATGATTGTTTTCGACTACACATTTTTTAATAAAATAATTTTACACATAAATCAAAAATATTTTCTTATTTTTTAACCACACATTATCCCAAAAATACTATTCAAAAATACATTTTTTTTCACCAAAATAGGACTCAAACAAGGGCTAAATTTAAAATTTCAAAATTTGTCCAAAACTTTCAAAAAAATCCTTATTGTTTTCAATTTTTCCCTCCACAATTAAAATTTTGTGAAAATTAATTTTTGACAATCGATTTTTTTTTTTAATATTATCATAGCTCAATCTCTGCATGTATTTATTTAAATTTTATCTTCGATGAATTTGAATCTATTTAAGATGAGGAAAACAAAAAAAAAAAAGAGAGCAAGATATTATAAAATGTTTAGATATTTATTATTAACATTCTTTTTATAATTTTGAAGTTCTTATAAAAGACGTAATCAACAAAACAGTGTAAAGTGTAAACTAAAAATGGAAATGATTTTCACGTTATATATATTGGAGCATGTTTCTCTGATATTTCATTTGGGGTTTCCGACCAACTTCTGTCGGTTGAAATGGGCCAGTCACCTTGTCTAGGCCGTGTCCGTGTCCGTGTCCGTGTCCGTGTGTGAAAGACGTACATATGCATGTCAGTACAGATAGATATATAGAGAAATTGTGTATGTAAATATTTGGAATAGACAAGCTTCATTAAATGTTCAAGAAGTTTGTTCACTCAAGACAACACTTTCTTTCAGAAAGAACTACCGAATTAAAAGTTTTAAGTTATTACAGAGATAATATGTTTTTTTCCTTCTGAATTAAAGTAGAAATACAGAAGCTAACGAAAGATTAAGCTCCAAAGAAACTGGGATCCAATCATCCAATGATCAAATAAAATTAGCAAAGTGAAACATGTTCTGAAGTTTGTCGGTGTATATATTTATGTATACAGATAAATACAAGTATGTATACATAACACAAAAATATCTAAGTCTGGGAGGGGTGGGGGCTGGATTAATTGGCTGAAAATTTTCCAGACAAATGAATTTTAATGCTTGGATTAAATGTCAAAATCATGTCTTTTAAAATTCAACACGGTTGAGTTTGAAATCTTCTAGTAGGTAGATTTTATTTTCTAATTATAATTTTTTTTAACGATTGTAGGCAATATAGTTTTATCTTCAATCTATAAATACATCCAACTTGATTGTATTTTCACCACAGCCATGGCTGAACAAAGTGTTCAAGAGCTTGTTAAAAACCCTATTCATGAAATTCCCAAAAGATACATTGTGAATGAAGAAACCTCAATTTCATTGGAGGATAATTCCTTTGCTGTAATCCCCACCATTGACATGCAAAATTTTGTTTCTTCTGGACCAAGCAAAGGTTTCGAGCTCGAAAAGTTGCACTCAGCATGCAAAGAATGGGGCATATTTCAGGTTAATTTTCTTCGAGAACATATAAATATTTTTTGTTTCTTTTGAAAATATTTCTGGTATTGCAGTTGGTAAACCATGGAGTAGATTCTTCATTGGTGGAGAAGTTGAAGTATGAGATTCAAGAATTTTATAAGCTTCCTTTGGAAGAGAGATTAAAATACACGGTAAAAGAAGGAGATTTTGAAGGTTATGGGCAAACAATTATTCATTCTGAAGATCAAAAAGTTGACTGGGCAGACAGATTTTACATGATTGTCAACCCTATCAACAGAAGGAAACCTCACCTTATGCCGGAGCTTCCTTCATCACTCAGGTCCTCTCTCTCTCTCTCTCTCTCTCATATACACACACATATACACATAAGGTACTCTAATATCTTAAACTTTTAAACTAAGTTTGATACTATACCAAGATTTAAGAAAAAAAAAAGGTTAGAGAATTTGAAGTTCAGTTTTTGCGGCTACCTATTTATAAAATTATGTACAACACGCTTTAATGAAAAATGAATTGATATACACTAAAGGTGATCTAATTGGGAAAAAATACTTTAGAGATGATTCGGAAATATAGAGGTTCTAAGTTCAACTTTCATCTTGCCATCTATTTATTAAAAAAGTGCTGTATACGAGATGGTTTAAGGATACCATCTTCTCGTTGCCTATAGTTTTGTTCAATTCATGCAGGGAAACCTTGGAGGATTACATGTCCAATCTGCAAAAACTTTCCATGAATCTATTGGTTTTACTGGCGGAAGCCCTAAATATTGAAAGATCAGAAGTAGAAGAGATGTTTGACGACGGAATGCAAGCGGTGAGGATAACTTACTATCCGCCATGTCCAAGGCCGGAGAAAGTTGTCGGGCTGACCCCGCACTCTGACGGCAGTGGCATCACAATTCTACTGCAAATTAATGGAGTTGAAGGGCTCCAAATCAAGAAAGATGGGGTTTGGAAGCCGGTAAAGTTCCTCCCAGATGCCTTTGTTGTTAACTTGGGAGACATTCTAGAGGTTTGTCAGCAAACTTTATACACAATTACTGATTATTATCAATATTTTAATGCTTGGCCTGGACATTGAGCTAAGTGATGGTCAAAAAATATATATTATAGTAAAATTAATTGGGAAATTATGCTACTAGTTATAAGGGATTTATCTTATCTGTCAATGGATACTCTCATGATCCGAAATTGATCCAAGTTAACCTAATTTATTAGTTTCAGTAATTTGATCCTACAAGTTATAAAATAACTCTGCAATATGATAACTATAATCAAATAAGTTTAGCGAGATATTTTTTTTCAAGTAACTAGAATGTTTGAACGGAAATGATTTTCCAAATGTTGACTCTTAATCATCATTAATATCTTCTACGTGTAAAAATATCATTTCCTATCTGACCATTTAAATTAAAGTGGATACATACATGCATACATACATACGCACCACTGTCGCAAATAAATGATTTCCCGATAACCATTGTTGCTTGTCTGCTTCATTTATAGATATCAATAGAAAAAAATGTTATTGGTAAAAGTTTATTTTCAACATAACATAACAGAAAAGTCGTTTCATCAATAATGCTCTAAATCTAAATTCTGCATGCATGGATGCAGATACTGAGCAATGGGTTGTACAGTAGCATTGAGCACAGGGCTACAGTGAATGAAGTTAAAGAGAGGATTTCCATGGCTATGTTCTTCAACACTAAATACGAAGCAGAAGTGGGGCCCTCGCCTTCCCTAATTACAACTCATCAGCCGCCACTCTATAAAAGAATGAAAATGGAGACTTATGTCAAAGAGTTTTTCTCTCGAAAGCTCAATGGGAAGTCATTTCTCGAGTACATGAAAATACAACAAAATCAAATATGATATATTGCATTTGTATGATATAGAGCTTGTTTGGAAGGGATTAAAATCGAATTAAAATTGAAAAACTAGCCGTTATTGTTGATTTTTATTAGACGGGTGTGACCCAATAACGACTATATTTTCAAATTTAATTGGATTAAAATTCCTCCCAAACAAGCTCATAATGTAATCAAAATCAGTCTGTTTTTGCTGTTTTTGCATATTTATTCTGCAGATTATTATTCAATAAAAATCTAGATTATATGAATTTATTTATTTTTCAATTAAACAACTATAAGTAGCATATTTTATTAATAAAAAAAAATATAGTTCAAACTTGTAAAAGGAAAAATAACAAGCATCTCCAAGTAATATATTGCAAATTTCAATACTACACTTCGAGGTCATTGATATCTGAAATTATATATGTAATTTAAAAAATGTAATAATTTATTGCGCCGCAAGATTGGGAGGAGCAATAGATGTTCTAGATGTGGAGGTGGAGACGGTTCAGCATGCTATTTTCTTGTGCGGGGCAGCGAAGGCAGTTTGGAGTTGGGAAGGCATATGCTATAGGACGAAAGATTGGGTGGAGGATATTATTATTATTATTATTAATGTAAAAAATAATATTTAATGAATTTAATATTTTCTTTAATTTAACATAATTATTTATTTAATAATTTATGTAGTTGTAAAATAAATAAATAAATAAATTGTTTTAAGAATAGAAAAAATGAAGAAAATGATTAAACATTATTCATTTGGTGTAAGTTTTTGTGTAATGGTTGAAGATGATTTTTAATTTCGTGCAAGATTTAGTATAAAATGGTGCAAAAATTACCTCAAATTTTGGACCTTTTAAAGTGACCCATACGTTAGTGTCTATAGTGATAGTGCTTGAATTGTTTACATGTTGGGTTCATATTCATTGTATACTTCAATTGTTTACCCTCAGAATAAGTCTCCACGAAAGTGTCTGATTTGAGACAGCAAAGAACTCTTTTGACCAACTCGACGCTCTCAAAAAAGCCCCAAGAACAAAATGTTCTATCAGCCGCAATAGTACAATAATGGGAAGCATATACAGATTGAAATAATTTGTGAACTGTCAACGTTAACCAACCAAAACGAACAGACCTTTTATGATTTATGATTTGAGCATGACAACATACAATATGCAATAACGCAACATACACTGTTGACCCCAAAAAATAAATCAACAGATGTCGGACCCACTCACGCCAAAACAAGTATGGTTCCGGCGCGTTCTTACCGGAATGATAACGGTAACAATGAAGAAAGGGACGCAGGAGATACTTTGCGGCGAGAGATAATATTGTTCGAGCTCCGACGGGTGGAATGGAGCCAATCGCACTAGCAACGATTACCGAGTTGAAACCAAAACTAATCTATGTAATGACGGATCAGAATATGTGGAATGATAGATAAAATGATAATAATCTTTCCAAGTGTATTTTTGTACATAGCATCGTCCCGATTTTTTTTCTTCTCATTTTTCCTCCCATTTTTCATTACAAAGAGGACCTATTTATAATTTTATAATGACTTGACCGACGTGGTGATCGTTGGATCGGAGCTACGTGGGCTCATCTCCCTAACTATGGCTTTATATCACTGTTTACTCATACAATTAATACATTGATAAGATGTCAACCATCCTATACAATAGGCTGACACACTGACAACTTTATTACAAGCGTTACATCAATCACCCCAGAGAGATCCTCAAATCTTTTACAAGGAAACAACGTCGATTTTGTGAGCCTCAGATGAACTGAGTGCCTCGGAGAGATCCGAGATGGTTTTCAAGTGGAGGACGTCAGCTTCTTTCCCAACTTCTAGTCGTGCAGTGTGAGGACTTCAAACGCTGTGTAAGGACCTCGGCCTTTTGACTACTTTTGTGTGTTTGACCTACTGGGTCTTCTTTTGACTTTCTTGTTGACTACTTGCCCATGTGTAGTCCCACGTGGCCTCGTTTCGCTAGACCTCGGAATCGAGGGGTAACATACACCAATAACCGAAAACACAACCACAAAAAAAACCCCCCCAAAAAATGTAAAAAGCCGCCACAACATTTGAGCTACTATCATGTTACATGTACACTCTCTTTTACACTTTCTTTTACACTCTTCCACATGTCAATATCTACACTTTTCATTTCGAACTCATCTATCACATCACTCATCACTGGACAGATTTCCCCCACGTAGGATTGCATATCAACCAAGTTGTCAAGGGTATTTTACATATAGCATTATTCTTTGAGCTATAATCATGCATAGGACTCCAGCAGACGTCTTCTCGGCTCTTTCCCGGATCTTCTACTGTAATAGAAGTACAGCACCAACTGTATAACCCCAAGAATCGCTCCAATCCCGTTTGGAACCTGATTTTACAACCGAAAAAGGGAAAACCAGCAAGGTTATTTTCAAGAAGTTAGTTAACTGTCACATTAGACCTATGTCTAATAAAGCATCGAATGCCAAGCTGCTAGCGTAGTGTAATTTACTAACTTATAGATGATTTGCAGTAGAAAAGATTGTCTTTTAAGAAGTGGTTGGAACTTGAAAAAATAGAACTTCTCTTACTATATGTTGGACGGTGGACTAGGTAGAGCCTAATTATGCTCTACACTAGTCTTCTCGACCACAATTTTTATTTATTACTAGTAAGACGCAT